CATGTTATTGCTCTGACAATGGTTTCCCGTAATGGAAATATGAATAGAATTGATTGTGTTGCTTTTTAGCGGTATTAAAATATTCTTGAACATTCTTCGCAATTAAAGCCGTGACGAATATTATTGTCTAGGAAACACTGCTTAACTCATTCTTAATTGTGTAAGTTATATAAGCTAACTCGGTTAGCGTTTTACATTATAACGTATGAACTCAATTCATCTGCATTTCCTTTTTAAAACATTTCTGAAAAAATGCCTATAAAAAGAGGTGAAAAATTTGCCATTGTTCTCAAATCATTTCCAGTAAATTATAACAATGCAAAGTTGCTCTTACATGTTGCGTTACATATAGATTTATATAAATTAATAAATAGTATCGCCGTGTGGAATATTCCGTTTGAAATACTGTCTATTATCAGAATACCCGATAATCGTTTGTTTATACATTCATACTTTACAATACATAGACTTCTGTATCTGAGAACCATGTCTAAATAACAGAAGAATTCAATATATCTCTTTTATTCAATGTAAAGATCATTCGTTATCGTTAGATTAAGAAATTTTATTGAAAACTACGATGTCCGTCTTATGCCAAGCGCATAAGTTACTTAGTGATCGTGTAACTTGCACGTTCCATTGAAAAATTTCATTAATCGTTTATTATTAAAACGTATATAACATTTCCTAGCTCTCAGATATAAAGTCACATTTTATATAAAGTCCTCAACTGATTGTACATCTTCAATGTACTTATTATAGATTTCCAATAAAGCGAACAAGTTTCTTAGAAAACCATTTAAACAACTGTGCAATAAAATAAATAAAAATTTCCGTCCTTGGAATTAACTTACAATTTTTTTATTAGGACAATTTAGTTAAAACGAAGAGACTACGATTCTGAAATATATTAACAGAAAATATAGTATACCGAAGGAACAATTAAACGTACGTTTTCATTAAATATATCAAATATTTATAATTAACAACATAGAAAAATAATACTAATAAAACTTTAAGAATGAAACATTTAACGTGAATTCTCTTTAAAAAATTGTTTTAGTTCACTTTTTCCGCGTGAATTGCTATTCAAGATTAAACAATTAGTAGTAACGAGTATGCAAATCGGAATACTGTTTAAAATATTTCATATTTATACATTCTTCTGACTGATTACAGCGGTTGCATTTCTCGTTAATGTATGTTGCAAAAGCATGTCGCTTGAAATCAAGTCTTTAAACAACTGTAATTAAATCTTAATAATACAAAAGTTCTTAATCATATACATAAGCACTTAATATTAACTTCATTCGATTCAGATCTTTCACTTAACAGGACCTTATTGGAATGATATAGTGTACAGCATACAAGATCAAATGTATCTATGTATACATATATACATGTATACACAATTTATTTATTACTTTCTCTGAATTTTCTTATAAAATAAGTGTAAGACTATGAAATTTAAATGCTTTCCATGTGTAAACGAAACGAAAATAGAAAGCAAGAATAAATGTATGCACCAGAATCGACTTATGAAATAAAAATGTGTCTTTAAGCATTAAGCTATTAGATGCCTTTATGATAATTCTTTGATTATCCAACTTTTAAACAGTACTGGAATAACTTTCACTTGGCCATACATAATATAAGTGACGATAATGGGTATATGGAAACTGCATTTTTGAGGACTGCAGTACACGTAACGACGGGACGTATTCATCTTCTTGCTTTGAACGTATATTGATATCTGGTTCTGGCTATACTATAGTACCTCCACCCTCCACTGGACTGACAACATGGAGAGCGTTTCCAACTTGTCCCACTCCTGGCTGCAATCAAAAGTTGTACAAAAATTTACTACGAAATATCATTTTCTTTGTCCATATAAATATTCTGCAATTAATTATAAGCAGTTTAAAAATAATTTTAAATTTTGTAAGTGCATCAAAGAACAGTGCAATGATAGCATATTAAAAGTATCATTCATTGATACATGTTCTAAAATGCCTTAGCAAGGCATATACTACTAAATCGAGCAAATATATATAAATATATATACTATACTACTCAGACCAATGATGCAATAAACAAGTCAAGGAAACAATAAATTATACGTACCATGCGATAACTCTGGGAAGACTCATCCATGATTCTCTTGCATCAGCCAAAGCATGGTATAGAACATTAATCTTTCCAATCAAAGTAAAAAATATAATGCCCCACTGGCTTAAGAAACAAGCACAAGCATCTTCCGATAAAATTATAAAACTCTCACTATAAAAGAAGCAATGCACACTATATGAAAATTATCACAAAACTCTTAACTTGTTAAATCACTATAACAAATAAGGGAGCATTGGGATATTTTGACAATAGAAACGCATTATGCAAAACACCAGGAAACTGAATCTAATATCATAAATCCAAAAGTCATAACTTACAAATATGATCATTTCATGTCATGCCAGACATTTCAACCAATACAACTGCCATGTATGCTAATGATTGGCAGCCATATACATACGTATACGTGTATGTAATCAGTTCTGCCTGGAGTCTCTACATTGCTTTCTATATAAATTCAAGCAGGAAGCAAGCAGCAAAGTTTCATTCAATTGTTTTGCTTTATTGTACAACAAGGCAATTCATTGTTTTCAACAAAGGATTAAATGTCACATTATTATAATCTGGGACGATACTTTGACTAAGTAATTCATTGACTTTCTATCATTCGCTAAGCTAAGCTAATAACACTTTACAGGAAAGAAAGAAGGGTTTAAGGGGCCTGCCCTGTTACAAAATCTTATGGGGCGCAAACAATGTTACTTTCAATGATGCAAACCAAACATAAATATATTTTATTTATAATTATACTAATGTACTTCTTCAATATTCATAATGAATATATTTTGACCAGATGATCTTTAGGCACAGATATAAATGGAGGCTTGTACTATGAATGAATGTGCTTTCATTTCTAATTACCTTTATTATTTGTTATTTCTGTAGATGTGTCTACTTAACCAAATAAAAAAATGTTCAAAAGTTTCAATGAACAAAACTTATCACTTGTATAATTTTCATACATTGGATGAAATAACATTCGAATCACAAAGGATTAAAGATATAATCTCTTAACAACATCTAACTGAATATTGTAAACTGATGCATTCATAGTACTATCCATCCGTACATTTCTGTAATTAATACATAATACAGACTACAAGATAATGCTAGAAGGTTTTCAATATTTTCCAATGGCACCATTCATAATATACACTGCTTTGGATAAAATGTAAACTAGGATGTAATTTGTAACTATGAGAAACATATGTTATTCTCAAATAAAAATCTATCAAAATCAGCACATTATATATATATACACATTATACATGTGCCATATATACACATATATATATATATATATAACACACAATACCGCAAGGACAGTATTTCTTATTATATCAAAGTTGAAAAATAACAAAACTACATCCCACGTGTCTTTCGCATTCAATAAATTTCAGTGTTTAAAAGAGCATTTGCCACCTAACACAATTCAACAATGACAATAGAAAAATTGTCCAAAGCATTATCATACTTTTATTCTTCTCTATTTAAGAATGATAATGATTATAATGTCTATTTCTATATATATATACAAATTGGAATTTGTCACTAAAAAGACCCTACTTCACAAAGTTGCAATAACAGTTGAAGATGGGTTACATCATAGATCGTTAGATCGCAAGGAAGTAATATTGGTGTAAGGATTGCTATGATGGTGTTGCCTGTGCAGAGTGCTGCTGATGGTGAGAGAACCTACCATGTGACCAGGCCTTGCCCATGTGTAGACATATCCATCTTGACACGCTGTTACGAAGCAATCTTCCCTAAACACTAATTCAGTCAATCTTTCATGCGCCAACTTCTTGCACACCAGTGGTTCTAATACTGGGCACTCATCAAACCTAGGGCACCGGGCAGTTCCTATTAACCTCATTGAATCGTCCATCACAGAACTAACCTTTTTATTTGCACCTACTAAACTTCCACTGACACTGTTCATATTACTACTTGTATTTGAGTTAGTGGTAGCTTTATCGCCACCACTATTTTGCATTATTGTGCTATTAGATGCACCACTACCTCTCATTGTGAGGCTAAAGTTTCTTTTATGATTATCACCTTTACGTTCACCAAAACCAAGACCTGCTAACCTTTGTGTCAATGAATTTACAGTTGACACCGTAGTATTTGTACTTGTGCTATTGTTACTACTTTCATTATTACCACTCACATTTTCTTTGTAATTAACATTATTCAAATTGTTGTGTTTAGAATTGTTCAATTGATGATTCGCCGTTGAACCATTCCCGCTGTTGATTGCTCCTGATGTAGAAAGAGTACCGGAACCTGCTACAGAGGGCCTCTGCTTTGCGCACATTGGTTGTCTCAACACATCTTCAGTAATATCCCACAAACACAGTTGAGTATCCTGTGACACGCTACCTAGCCTGTAGCATGTACCACCTGACACTCGTAACTCTGATCCACAAGAGTTTCTATTCGAATGAACTCCTTGTGAGGTCGTGGACAGACGATTAGATTTTTCACGGAAGTGATTATGATTATTGTGTGGTAATGTTTCATCATCTGAACCACTGAAGTCAGGATCATGATCTCCATAAGATGTAGTGTAGGGATCAAAAGCTACTACGCTTACCCAGCTATGATGACCCTGACCTCGTGCTACCACTCTTTTCTCATGAAAGCTCCAAATTGTCACAAGATCATCTTCACCTCCAACAACAACATATCTTCCATCCGGTGACCAACATACACACAGGAACCCACCAAAATAACTTCTAGCTGAACCCACTAATTCCATTGTGTTATATTGGAATACACGTAGAAATCCGTCTTGGGAAACTACAGCTAGATTGGAGCCACATGGACTAAAGGCAAATTCATTTATGCAACATCCTTCTGCACCTATGACCCATCGATACAATGGGTTCCTTGTAGACTTTGTCTTGCAAGTATATATGGCATAACCATCTCCTGATTTGAAGGATTGATAATGAGGAGCTGTTGTACCGCACAAGAGTTCTTCATTGTATAAATATAGTTGTCCAGAACTATGCGATACTAAGAAGAGGTTATTGGAGCCAGGAACCCATTTTATACATGTTACTTTGCTCTTATCTATCAATCTCTGAAAAATTAAGGAATCATGTACAAAATATACTATATAACAAAACATGGTAAAAAGTCAGTATTTTAAAAAAATAATATCTACACAATAAAGAGTTTTTGGAATAATTTGTGTCACAAACACTAGTCATAATTATAAGTAAAATCAGTGAACTATTAGTAATTCCTTGTTTATCATGTTTCAACAAGATAACACGTTCATATCAATAGATACTGGATAAATGCCAACACCTTTTTTACACATTACAGGAAAGTATCTAATGATAGCAGTGATATAGAAGGTCCTCTTTTAAAGTCACAATTTTAGGATTGTGCCAATATTATTTTACAATCTCCTCATATGTTAAAAGGAATTTATTTTCAATTGTTATTTTACACTAAAGGTGTTACTCACATCTTCATTGTATAATTTGTTCAACTCCTTTTTTATTGGATCTATCAATTGAATTTGTCCCGTAGAGAAACCAACTAATAATGGTGCACTATCTGCAGTTGCTGTTGTTTGGTTAAAATTGTGGCAAGTTGGATTAGTTCCTTTATATAATTTTTTATCCAATGGCTTATTCAAATCCACAGCCTGAAACATTTTAATTCAATATACATCCCGTACAAGACTAACCAAGAAACTTGAAAATTATAGAATACCAAGGAAATCACTATTATATAATATTGTTTGCTATTACATTACAGGCTGTCTTAACATATACAAAATTCCAACATTTATTAAAAGCAAAACTTTGCATAACACAATTGGGAAAGTGACAAGAAAAATACATCAATTATTTACATAAGATTTCTACATAACAATTATACATAAGTTTCATAAATGTACTCCTATCTCACTCATCACTGATGGTAACATAAAATACATAATACTTTCAAAGACAAACAATCAAACCACTGAAGAAACAAACTACTTCATATTTCAATTTAAATCAAAGATTATGCATTTTAAAATAGCATTAAAAGAAAAGAATCTGATAACAATACGGTATTGACACTTAAGAAAATCGTATATAAATAAAGCTCGATAAACGAGATCCTGTATTTATCAATGAATAAAGTAAAAGGATTCTGTATTAGGTGTGGTAAAATCTGCAAAGATGGAGTCTTGATATGCGTTTTCGAGGTTAGGTTTGAAAGAATCCATGCTCGATTAAACACAAATATATTAGTGTGATGTATTAAATAGAAAAAAAACTCGCCTCACCTTTTTAACGCCCCGGTATACGTAAACATAGAGCTCCTTGCCAAAGTTGAAACACATTCGGTCGCCGAGACCTTGCGTACCCGTGGGGTCCGCTGGGTCCGGTAAAGTTACGAAAGACACCCTAACGGATGCACTTCCTTGACTGTTCGTATAGCCGACCCTGTTTGGCCTCGAATACTCCGACAAAGTCATTAGCTTGTATGTTCCTTCCCGCGTGACAAACTGTGTTTTCAAGTCCTCCTTCCCTCCTCCATCCAGCTGCACAGCCATCTTACCACCAGCGGAACGACGGAGGAGCTCATCAGATACGAAAAAATCTTTCGTTGGCTTCTGCACTCCTACACGTCTGTTGACAACTGGTCACCCGGAAGCCTCGCGAAGTTGTCAAACACCGTATCAGCACTTCCCCGTTTTTGAAAAACTTCCAAATAATCGCAACTTACCGGTCCAATACGAGAACACTGGTAAGGGCGCCTCAAGTTCTATATTGAAACTGCCCGTGCATTTGCGACCCGCAGCTCACGCTCTCAACCTCGTATAGGATAACCTTCTCCCCACTGTACACACGACAATTTTTTTCCATTTCTGCATCACGCGTAACTTGCAATGTGCACGTAGTGTGGAAAAGAAATATTTTTCAGAAGCAACCGTTTAACGATAGCTTCGAAATTATACATCTTTTTTTAGTAAATTGTATCGTTTGATATAAAAAAATTTGAAAGCAGTTTTCATCTTGATACGCATACGTGCATCAGTAACGAAATGCTTACAATGAATTTATCTAGCTTTTACATAGTAGTATTTTTTTATAGCGGTAGGATCATAAAGGAACAAAATTATAAATTACTCGTACGATTTCATAGAAATACAATTACTTTTATAGTATATCGTTAATGTCTAAACTCCGTTATGTATGTTACAGTCATTACCTTTAATAGTTTATTGCAAGATTTTTTTTAGACAATACACTATAAAATTAAAGAATGTACGGCACTGTCGGCAGCGTGTTATTAATGCGCGCGCAGCGTCGCCTGTTCGTCTGAACTCGTTGGCTCCGAAGGCCTGTCAGGAACCGGATATTTTGTAAACAACCGTGCAAAGGGTTAATTAATTTTGCCTACTTTTTTCTACTTCCTGTGTTTCTCTTCCGTTCGGGTTATCAAGAACGCTTGTTAATGTAGCTGTCACTGACTACTTTAAGCTCTAGGCTGATCACTTATCAACTAACCGGTAATGCCGAAACTATTTTTTATAGTACGATATGCAAATACATACCTTTCCGCTAATGTACGTTCGAATAATACTCGAAAATCTTTCTAATTTTTCTCCGTCTTATCACGCAACGCGATAAGTCTTGAATTTTGATTCATCGAATCGAGGATAAAAATGATTGTTAGTTTAAAAAGTTCTATCTGTTGCGATAATTTATCCACTGAAATCAACAGTCACGTGATCCTTGTGATACGGGTATTCACTTTACAGATTTCTTCCGGTTCTCCAAATGGCAATTAATTTTCCGTGACGCAACTATAATTGAAGATTCAAATGGTGTATCGCTCAATACACGTCTTTGGAAATATTTGACGACTGGTTGATGAGGCTTTGTTTTGCAAGAACAATAAACACCGCAACGACACGTATGTATTAAATATTCATTCGAATTATTGCATGTTAAACTTCGTCTTATTAATTGTGCCTTACTTCACATACTGAAACGGATTTTGTCGAAATTTTGTTGACTGAATTTGACATGCTAAATTATTTTGATCTCCATACGTTTTGAAATACTTAATTTGAAATGCATCGGATGTTTCGCATTTTTGTTGGAAACATTAAAGCGATGATTATGATAGAAATATCTTATTGAAAGAAAAAGTATGATTATATCATTGAAGATTATGGTTTTTTTATTATAATATTTTGTACTTGTTCACGAGCATGCAACATATGAAAAGATTAAGTATGTTGAAATTACGACATAGATGTTATAGCTTACAATAGGGTGCAAATTTTAAATTCAGCGCCCATAACCTATCTTCAATGTGAAGACAGTAATTTCGTAAGCAGAGGTTCACATGCTGCTTATGGTGTTTATAAAACATTTGGGAATCTAATTTAATATAAATTAAAGTGCATTCAGCTTGTAAAGTATATTTTGCATGTTTCTGTAGTTTATTTAATTATAAATAATATGTGGACAAAATGTGTGTTTTTAATACGTGTGTTTGATTTTCTCAAACTCGTGGTATTGGTTATACGATAACAAATACACGTGGGTTTACGTATTTCATAATTTGTTAAAAAATTGTGTCGACATGTATCGATAATCGATATATAAAGTTCATTATAATTATGGCACGTGGAAAAAAACCGGTCCGTGGTGGGAAAAGAAAATTTAACCGGCACGATGTTCAACCGAAACCTAAGAAAGGTAAATTTAACCTAAAAGAAGCTTCATACATTAAAGAACGGGATGCTAAAAACAAAGAAATTGAAAAACGTAGGAAAATGTTGGAAGAAGAGAAATTACAACAGCAAGAATTAGTAACCGATAGTTCTGATGAAGATCAAACTGATCCCATGCAAGATTTACTAGCCACCTTTTCAAACACTAGTTCTTTTAAAAAAAATGCTATAGAATCTAATTCAGAAAGTGACACTTCTGATAATGAGGATGATATTGAAGAAAATGAGAATAGTAATGAAAATTTGGTAGTACATACAGATGATGACACTAGATTATCGAGTAGTAGTGAAAATGAAGATATTAAGATCAAAGAATTTGACGAAGAAGATGCTGAAACTGCCAAGGAAGATGCTGGTTATTTACAAGATCCATTTTCCATTCATCTTCGGGATGATTTAAGTGATAAACTTTATGAAGCGGCTTCTAATGTACCTCAAATCACAGAGACAGAAAAAGCAACATGGCCAGTTCTTGGGAATCTCATTTGTGAAATTCCTAGGGTGTCAGAGGATACAAATGATATAAAACAGAAAGCCAAGGTCTCTGTTCTAGAAGATAAACATTTTGCCAAATGTGGTAGTTTTCCTTCTTTAATTGAAACAATCGACTGGGATAAATTATACGTAAAATCACAAATTCAAGGTAATATTACAAGAGCTAATTATACAAATATAAAAGATGATATTGACAAAGATCCATCACCTCTCACTCCTGTGCAAAGAGAACTATTTTCAATAATAAATAATTATCAAGATTTATATTACCCTGAAAGGACATTTTCTAATGCCGATCAAATAAGATTTATATATTGTTTACATGCAATTAATCATGCACTGAAAACAAGAACAAAAGTACTACATCATAATGCAAAAATAGTAAAATCAAAGTATACAAATATGGCTGATGTTCCTGAAGAATACAGAGATCAAGGTTTAGTCAGACCAAAAATTTTAATAATAGTTCCATTTAGACATTCTTGTTTGAGAATTGTTGAATTATTAATAGCCATTTTAATAGGGGAAGACAAAGGTGGCTCAGTCATGAATAAGAAAAGATTCATGGATGATTTTAGTGGTAATGAACTAATAATGCCCAAAAAAAATCCAAAACCAGAAGATTATGAGCAGACATTTCAGGGGAATACAGATGACACTTTCAAAATTGGAATTTCTATCACAAAAAAGACTTTAAAGTTATACTCTGAATTTTATTCGTCAGATATTATAATTTCATCTCTATTGGGTTTGAGAATGTTAGTGGGTGCAGAAGGTGAAGCAGAGAGGGATTACGATTTCTTGGCATCGATAGAATTATTAATTATGGACCAAGCAGAATTATTTGTAATGCAAAATTGGGATCACATGGTCCACGTATTAAACCATTTACATTTGCAACCAAAAGATTCACACAAAACAGACTTTTCTAGAGTAAGAAGTTGGTGTGTAAATGGTTGGAGTAAATATTACAGACAAACCTTAATATTTTCAAGTATCCATATACCTGAGATTTATGGAGTGTTCAATAAGAGGTGTTACAATTACGCAGGGAAAATTAAGATAATGAATCCCGTTTCCCTTGGAACTATTTGCCAAGTAGTTGTGCAAGTTCCACAAGTATTTCACAGATTCGAGAGTTCCAGTCATTTTCAAGCCTTGGAACAAAGAATGGATTTCTTTGTGACAAAAATACTTCCTCAGTACAAGGACAGAATTATGAACCATACATTGATCTTTATACCATCTTACTTTGACTTTGTGAAGCTGCGAAATTATTTTAAGAAGGAGGAGTACAGTTTTGTACAGATCTGCGAATACTCTAAGGACTCTAAAATAGCAAGAGCTAGGGATATGTTCTTCCACAGTGACGCACATTTCCTGTTGTATTCCGAACGATTTCATTTCTTCCGTAGAATACGACTGAAAGGTATAAGGCACATCATATTTTACGCACCACCGACGTTCCCCGGGTTCTACAGCGAGATGTGCAATTTAATGCAAGAATTTAATCAGAATTCACGATCAGGTTCCAGCAGTAACATGACTGTAACCGTTTTATATTGTAAATACGACATTATGCAACTCTCCGCGGTCATAGGCACAGAAAGGGCGAAGAAAATGCTCGGGTCAGAGAAGTCTGTTCATATGCTCGTAACTGGTGAATGATAGATCGCAGAGCTATTTAAGAACAATATATTTTACATAAACATATAAATAGTTAATGCGTATTACATGCAGTAAAGTTGTAAATTATTCGAAGGTACTATTAAATGGCTACAGTTTGTACTATCGGTAACAATAAGAAGATATATTTTCAGTTACATAAGCCTGTTCAGTTTCTTTATTATACGATTAGAAAATTACCTGAAATAATTACAATTCCGATTACATTTCCTCGAATCGATTTCATTGGTACATTTCACCATATCGAACATATTGAGTACACAGTATCAAAACTAAAATCCACGCAAGTGTTCTCCAAAACTAATCGGGATGTAAACGAAAAGTTGCTTTACCCCTTGAAATACGTTCTCGCTAAAAAGATAATCACATTTAGTCCTCGTTTAACGCATAAGGTCTCGAATTACGTACAGCAAACATCGAATAAATGAAAAATCCATTAAACAAGCTTCGTCCACAGCGTCCTTATAGATCGCGTGTAATCCCGCCCCGTGTAAACGAAGAATCGATCCGAACAACTCAGCTAAATTACCGTGTTAACGCTACAACGAATCGAAACAAACTCGAATGCTACTTCGTTTCTCCTTCGATTAGTTTCTAACGGGTTTATCAACAATTGGTCAATCACTGTTAGTGCTCGCGTTAGTAACCCTTTCCTGCGTACTCTCTGTACTCGGGTTCACCGGAGAATCCGACGAGGACAACGTCATAACGCTTGAGGACATCGTTGTAGTTTTCGTTAGGACCGTCAACAAATTCTGCCTCGGTGATTCTGTTTTGATGACGGTCGTGGTTGCCAATCCCCCGACCTGTTCCTTTCCATTGGTAACTGGTCTCGTCGTTATCTTTTCTATTTGCGTTTCTGAAAGAGGCAAGCAACGTTAAAACATCCGGCACACAAAAATGTCCATCGTAGTAATCTGTTCGGTATACATTAGGTCATCTCACAATTAATATCGTTCCTCGTCTCCACAGTGTACGTTCGCGATCCCCAAAATAGGAAAATGAATTCTTACGTCAGAAGTTACCGTTTCGTTACATTAGAGGTAACAGAAACGACATTACTTGTGCAACGACCCGATTATAGCTTGTGCAGATTATGCACGTGTAAACATCAGCTTAAGATACGGAAAGAGAACCGTCCATAAAACATTATGCCGGTTCAATGGTGCGAAACTACATGTTTACCGTTGACGACGGGAGGGGTAGTGAGGGGGTACGCTAATTTCGTGTCGGCGCACTCCGGTTTCGTTCTGTTCCTGACGAACACGTCTTTCGGGTCCCACACAAAGGTGTAATACAAGGACAACAGTATAGCGCCCATGCTAACGAATATTACGTAGGCCACCACCGTCAGCACGCGTACCAATTTCTGTTTGTGCTTCGGCTCGTACAGCTTGTCTTTCCTCTCGTCGCCGGCGAATCGGATCTCGTTGCCCGTCGGCTTGTGCTCGCGGTTCCCCGTCTCGGGGTTCGGTTTCTCCGGGTTCACGTTCTGCCCACTCATCTTTCGCGGCAGCTGCATCCTCTGTGCGTTCGTGCGTCTCGAGAGAGCCACCCCTCGCCGTGCGCTCGATCGGCCGCGCTTCGAACTTCACGGGACGACGGCTCCCATGAAAAATTCAAGCCTCGACCGCAACGGGTCGACGAGGACATGCAACGAGAGCCTCGACGAAGGCATCGTTCCCCGAGGAAGCTTCTCGAGCCCCGTGTATTTATATCTTTCCCGGATTGTTTACAGTTTTCAGCGGCCAGCAAACGATCCACCGTTGTCGGCCGACTTTGGCACACCTAATTTCTTCACGAATCACGTAGAGATCGTCACCGGTTCTCCACCGTTCCCGCGACTCGCAGCTGTCGGCCTTCGACTCCTCCGCCTGGGAGCTTTCGATCGGCTCACCGGCAGGGCGTTACCGCAGGAAAGCTCGCGAACGCGGCCGCGACTACACAGAGACTATGCGAGCGTTCGTGTTGGTACGCGCGACGCGCAGGGGATTTCCCTTTTAGTATCGTTGCGACTATGCCGCGATTATTTCTGTTCCTTGACTCGCGGATCGACCTTACCCACCAATGGCGGCCGCTAAAAAACACACCCAACCGACAGTACCGGCGAGCTTTCACTGCGCAAGTCCGAGAACCTTGACTCGGCGCGCCGCGTTTCGCAAGCCTCAAGGGCTGCTCGAGCTTTACAGGATTCGCCGGCGTGGTAAATGCCCTTAAACCAATACGCCCGGTGGCCTTATTTCGTTCTCAAGGCTCGCGCGCCGGCAGCTGGTCGAAGGCTTACGCGCGTGGTCTCGCGCAAAGGCGCGGGCTTTCAGGCATCGCACGTAATTGTCGTTGTTCCACATTTCGATGTCCGCCGATTAATCCCTTGGCCTATGATTTCTTCCTCGAGCGCTTGTTGGGACTACTTTATCGTTGATAATTCAGTGGAAGGGATGAATTTGTTCTACGTTTACTCTGGGGGTGGAAGATTGGTAACAGTAATGTTTAATACTAGAACTATCAGACAGGTTAGAATGAAGCATTGCAGATCTCTTCTTGCGATTCAGAAGACGACAGAAGCTTCTTTAGTGAATTATCGAAGAAATTGTATTAGCGCAAACTGAATTATAAATTAATGCAAATCTCGATGGACACACTATCGCAGTTTCTATAGGGAAATTTTGGGAAATCAATTTGATCGCTCGGTAGCTCTAGTGTTAATTAATGACATTTAGATTCGCCGAATTCGGTTGATCATTTTCGTTAGTGTGACGCGATATAGGGGAAGGGGTTGAGACCTTGAGGTCTCGGGGGAATCGAAATCGGAATTCCTTGCGATGTTCGTTCGTACGTGAACTTCGATGATTCCGGGCTGCGTTCGACACGCGCGGTGTCTCAATTATCCCCGTTAAGAGGCTTCCACAGAAGTGACAAAGAAGCGATTAAAATTGTTGCGCAAGCATTTTACGTAAGCCCGAGCTTGCGTATTGCTTCGGAGGTGGGCGCAGGAACGCGCGGACCGCGGCCGTGGGCTCTTCCAGGCAGGATATTATTTATGAAAACGCGACTGTCTTACCTGGAATAGTCGGGCGTTAAAAGCTAAGCGAGAAACAGCCGGCTGGAAACGAAAAATTCGTAAATGTTTAGCCGGCGCCTTCGTTTTCTAGAGCGAGCGCGACTCTCGCGTTACAAAGGAGGCGCGCCTTTGTCTTAACAGCGTTAAGACGTCATTCTTCGATCACCTCGCGAGCAAACACGGGCTTTCGATCGGTCGACGTCGGTCCGCGACTCGCGGAACGGGAGAGGCGGGAACGCTTCTTTCCCGATCGCCTCTTCCCGACCGGAATTCCCGCCGATTCGACGGATTAACGCCCGGACGCGAAAGCAAACGGTTCAAATTAGATAACCGTTAACGAAGCCTGACGCGAGGCCGCCGCGATCGTTTTTAGAAATTGCAAAATCTTCGTATCGATGCAACGCCGGGGAAGCCATAACGGATCGGCCTGACCCTGTTTCAGTTATTACGCGGACAATACGGATAATCGTCGCGCGCCAATCCAACGATCTTATTTCTAAGGTTTTAATCGTTGCTTTCCGTTCCGACATTCCGATTCCGTTTGATACGTCGATATCTTAACCGCGCGTTTTTAGACGCACGAGAGATCGTTATGGAAGGACGCACTCTCCCTCGTCGACACCTGCGACGCAGGGTAGGAACGTCCGAGCTCGTTAACCGCTAATCAATTACGCCCGCCGATTCGACCGCCTTTAATCCACCTTCACGCGTGGAACGGCGCACGGATCGCCGAACGTTTATTTACCTTTGAAATTCATCGCAACGTTTGCGAACGCTTGGAACGATGGGTTTAATTCCAGACGATCGGCCAGTTTCGAGTCTCGCGAGGAATTTATGGGCGACCGATTGCTTACAACAAGACCGTCTGCGCGCGCGTTGTCCCTGGCTCCCCGGACGTCAGGATCTTCTTTATCCCTCGCTGTCATAACAACCGCCGATTTATTAATTAACGCGGTTATTTCAGTGGTGCCCGGGAATTCTCCGCCGTGAGCGTTCGATCGGGAATCCCGCAACGGCTCGGCGACATTCCCAGCGATCGTCGTCTCGGTTTTCGACCCGTTTCCGCTCGTTTCGACGAACGTTTCTCTTCTCTGGAAACTCGTTGGAATGTACTCTCCTCCCTGGCTCTCCTCGATGCCGGAATTCGACGCGTCAGACGATTCGATCGGGTCTTCCGTATCGTTCGTGAAGCTTCTGTTCCCCTCGCCAGCGGAGTCAATCGAAAAATTCAATCCTCGATACACGTCATCGGGTCTACCTTGCTCCGAGATGTTCAGCGTCTCGCTTTCGACGTTGATTACGGACGTCGTGCTTCCTTCGTTCGATTCTTTGGTCAGGTTCGATTGTCCACGTGAAACACTCTCGGTGGAGTCATACCTGAACTGGTCGTAGCCCGATTCCTTTTTCACCTTGCGCTGGTACTCTATCATAGACTGTCTGATCAGCAGCAGAGACTCGTTCAGCTTCTCCTCGCGATCCAGCTGGTTGCTCGCGTCGGAGGCGTCGTCGAGCATGCGACTGGCGAACTTCACGCCGCTCGGATTCTTCTCGATACCCGCGAGGAGTTGATCAACCTGGTGGTTGGACATGACACCTGGAGGATCGTCCACCAGGAATTGTACCTCGGGCTCGCCGGACAAGGGATTCGGCCTCTTCATGAGCCTCGGGTTGGGCGGCTCCCAGAGGAACAGGTAGTAAGCGCTCAGCACTATGGCCACGAAACTCACGGAGAACATGTAAGCCACCACGGTGATCAGGCGCACGATCTTCTTCGAGCCTTTAGACTCGTAAAGGTCCGCGTTCGGGTCCTTCTTCGCGGCTTCGGCGCCGCCACCTTCGCGGGCACCTTCGTCGCTGCTGCCTTCCTTGCTCATCCTGGTCGCTGATTTCGCTCGAGTTTCTCCTGGTATTTCTACTCTTCGATTGGATCGCTGGGAACTTCTCGTTCACGTCTTAAGCATCCTTGACAGCGTCTTCCTGTCGCGTCATCTCGACAAGTTACATTTCAGGATCCGCTGGGAACTTCACCGAACGCGTTCACACGTACGTACTGCGAGAAATTATTCGAAGGATTTCCCGCGTGGATCCTCGTTTCGGCGAGTGCTTCGGAAACGTTCGCGCGGACGGTTCAATGGACCTCCATTTTCAGGTGCGCATCGGCGATCCACGGGTCTCGCGTCTCGTTCGCGCGGTTCCTCGAATGAAAGCGAGGAAGCGTCCCGGCAGCGGAAGCGAGCGCGACTGCAACTTCTCGGCAAACGTTCGTAGAAAAGCACCGTTCCTTCACCACGTGTTAGCTTCGCGCGCAAGCGTCCTTAACGTGCCGTGTGTCATACGCGAATTCCTTGTCCGCCGGTTCATCGGACATTTCGCTGACCTTCCCGAGGGACCGGGGGCATTTCGATCGGGTAAACATACGTTTCGAATTTTTCCTCGCTCCCCGGCGCCTGGAATTTCCGTTGCGTAGTTGAGGATACTTCGGAAAGCTTGCGAGTTTGTTATTCCAAGGGTTTCTTGAAAGACGAGTTTTTTTCGCGTACGCTGGCCTCCGGGTGTTCGCTATCGGTGTCGTCTTCGGGTTGCCTGGAGACAGTCTGCAATTTCGGAAATTTCAATATTGCCGAAGAACAATTGTTGTGAAGATTCAGTACCTGCGATAGTTCTAGGTTCGGTCGCGGTGGATTCGATGAATTCAGGATGTCTGAAATCTCCTCGCGAGGACTCGCGTAGGACAAATTCGGGACGGATTGCTGATTGCTGAGGGTCCGTAGAAGTTGAGTTAGGAGATCGTTCGACCCTTCGAAGTAAGGTATCGGGATCGTCGTTTGACTGCTCTGTCGAGCGATCAGCAGGTTCAAAGCAGGCATCAGTGCTGGGGCGTAAAGCAACACCGCTAATCTGCGACAGATGACACCGAGTATAAAAACAAGATGAAAGATCGTACACTAACCCTTTCGGAAGGTAACAAAGATTTAATAGCAATAGTTCGTTTCTTGCAGTCGACTATGAGGAAAATAGAAGGAGGGCGAAAGTGAAGAAGTCAAACGTTCTTCCCGTTCGGTTAGTAGAGCGTATCCATACCGTAGCAGTCGAATGGTCATTCCGTTCGGGTCCAACAGAGGATTCGCGATCGCAGGTTGCACGATGGGGGAGCGAGCGGTGTGCACGTTGCTCCGAGGCGCCGGCATTTTCTTCCACCCCCGAGGATTCCTCTGAATCAGTTTCGCTAGATTCCTCGGCTGGTCGTCGACGAAACGGGTCCCCTCTTGTTGCAGTTTCCCGAGCCGATTGCTCGGACGACCCCGATTATCCTCGAACGCGCGTTGAACTCGCGGATTCTGCTCGCATCTGGTGAACGCGCTTTCGAAGAACTTGATTCGCTTAGTCGCCCGATCCTCCACCGGATCGGCGCTGCTCGATCCTTGCTCCTTCCGGCCGGCATTGTCCTGGTGCGGTTTCCATCCCATTGTTGACTGCAATATCGGCGCGTTTACCGTGAAGCTGGTCTGCTTATGATCCTCGTGTTTGACATCGAAGTCAATACAGCGCAACGTTTCCGGCTCGTGTTTCTTGTCGGATCTTTGGCAAGCTTCCATCAACGTCTTCCCGTCGGCGATAAGGGGCACGGTTGCGGCCGATTTAAAAATATATTAGTTTCAGCGTTCGCGAATGCAAAATCACTCTTCGCTGTTACGGCTGCTACAATGTTCAAGCGGATAACGTACGTTTCTCGTGGAAGCTTCTGGTTTCTGCGGGATCAAAGGGTTCTCGGTCGTTCTCGTCGCTTCGCGGTTCTTCCCGGTTGTATCGGTATTACCGTTATTCGCCTGTAAACGTACGCTTGTGTTTATAATAATGAAACGTCTATGAAACTATATAAATTACGCTGGAAACTGGATCGAATCTCGAGTCGTCGGAGGACAGGTTTTGAGGAAGGATCACTGCAACATTGTGCGTCGAGCATGTCGCGGCAGAGTTCAACGTTTTCAGTTGGCACGCGTGGTTTCCGGAATCGTTCGAGGAATTATCTTGCGAATTCTAGAACAGGAAATACGTAGGCTGGAGCGAGGCGTTAGATGCATTGGACTGGCTCGATTCGTATTTGTAAGAGAAAGGTTCGAAAGTTGTTCTCCATTTTCTATTATTGACGCTCGAGTGTTTCTTATTTACCGTTACACGCAGTATTCTGTCTATTCTATCGATACAGATAAGAAAGACGGTATCACGATCTATCGATACACTCTCGCAACGTGACCGATTCGAATCGATTACCTGAAAGAAGCTGTTGCGTTTCGTCCAACTCGGGTAGTCCAGGTGTCTCCCACTGGAGTCTCTACTTTTTTTCGCGTGATGCTTTTTCCTTAAGGGAACGTTACTTCTGTCCTGATTCCGAGGGTCGTACGGATGAACGGTTTCCCTGTGGTTCCCCGGCGCAATCCCACCGGCGGACTTTAAAACATTCGATTTCCAAATTGCGCAACCGTTCAAACCGAGGCATTCGCTCGATATCGATGTTGAAATACCGTTTGATGCGCAGCTGACTGGTTGCGCGTTATTATGGGAAGCAGCATTTTGGTTCTCGTCAATTCTCGCTCCATCGCCACATACCTTTCTTCCATCTGCCTTATGTATTCCAGTAAATATTGGCTAGACGCGCTTCTGTAACGATTGTCGTGGAAGAATTAGCAAAGAAGATCGCGGCGAGATGAGAAAGGATCGCAAATAGATCTAAACCCTGCCCCTCGGTTTACCCGTGCACTCGAAGCATCAACGTTAGAACTACCGAGCAGTAAAATCGACTGTTTGGTATTTTCTTATAAAACTTCTAAAAATACATTCATTGAGATTTCGGTTTGCTTAGATTCTAGTCGGAGTTCGTACGAGTTTGTTTGCCGATTCCTCGGAGAAACATCTGCGCCTTTCGATAATTGCGATAAAAGAGCGCCGTTGGAACAAGTAGTGACGCGTAGATTGGTAACGAGTTTGATAATAAAGAATTAGATGATATTCTCAAGCTCAAGCTATCCTGGGCAAAGGAAGAAAGGACATTATGCTGGCGATAAGGAGAAAGCTTGAGGGCGAATTAGGATCGAACAGTTGTCCCACTAACGTTCGAGGCGGTCTGAGACACAGATCGGTTGGTCGAACGCAGCCAGTGTCTTCGAGAACGATAAAATTGACATCGAACGTCAATCCGTCGTTTCTTAAAGGAGCTCTTGTCAACTGGGCAAACGATGGTCCTCGAGTGGCTCGGGTAGCTAACAGTTGTCGGAGGCATTCGTTGCGTCTCCATTGTTCCCTCCGATCGTCCACTGGCTCCAGAAAGATCTGTCTTCCGAACATACTCCTAAATTTAATTGAGAAGAGTCACGGCGAATTTAGATGAGTTCCGATAGTGCCGAATAAAAACGGTTTGTCTAGGCTATGTGCTGTCCATCGTTTGTTTTTCCGCCATTTTATGCTCGGCGAAACAGCCGTGCGAACAACTTTATTCGCGAAATTTGAAGATCGATTTCGAGCCGATCCTCGTTCACGCTAGAACCAGACGATTCGAATTCGCCGATTTAGAATGTTTATTTTTCAATTTGAAGTGTTTAATGATAAAGATAGTTTCGCGAGAGATTGAAAATTAATTTGTCTATTTGTACGGTACGAGAATAAAGGAACCTTCGAATCTCGAGAAATGTATTGTTCTAGTTCCCATAAAAATCAGAAATATCTGATTCTATGAAAATTAGAAACACTTAATTGTACAAAAATTAGGAATAAGATCCTCTACGATGAAATCTGCTAATAATCCAATTAACACGCTGAATGCCGCACAATTTTATAGAGTAAAATATAGGAAATGGTAAAAATATAATATTAAATCAATGCCACCGCATTAGATAGCATTGTTTATAATACAGAAATGTTTTCAAATAATCATCGTTTAATTCAATGAATTATAGTGATTCCATTTGGTTAGGGGTCACCGGTGACCCTCATGACATTCAACGTGTTAAAATAGTGAATTGATCGGAAATTAACAAAGAAAACTGCTCGGTAGTTCCAGCGTTAATTTATCTGTACCCATGGAATTACGTAACTATGACGAAACGGCTGCAAAAGTGGGCTTCCCAATTTTCAGAGGGGATTGAAATTTTCTACAAAGATTTCCCTGGAGCTTGTAAACCAATGTTTCAGGCCGCTCGCTTCTGTATATTTGTTCAGCTCCTTCCGATTAAATCCAGCCCGCATTTATATATTTGATGTTCTCAAGTCATTAGGGGCTGTCCGTCGTGCTGTTTCAGACAATTCATTTTTCTTTTTCTTTTGGTTAACATTCCGTCGTTTTTTTCGTTCTGCCTAGATAGGGGAATGCCTAGATACAGTTCGTACGTTTCAAGATCTGCTAAATATTTATCAAACGAGCGTGTGTCTTGTCAGTGTGTGCGGCTCGAGAATAGATACATATTTTTGGAACAGAAAAGTTCGATGTTAGGTTATAACAAGAAACGCGCGTAAGTTAAGTATCGGTCGACCTATTTTGCAGTCGAGCAGCATATTAATTACATCTGCGGTTGATTTTGCACTTTGATTTCGTCGTCTGCTAGTAGAGATTTTGATGTTGCATCAGTCATAGATAAATTAAGCGTCCCGAAGAGTTCAGATCGTTTCTGCTATGCGTCACGCTCAGCGAATTAAAAGTATTCTGTGCTTGATTGTTCGATTTTGGTTATGAAGGGTGTAACGGTTTCGTTTTCGCTTTCCATCGTTTCACCGTGGAATGGTCAGCCTTGTACGAAATTCAAATACGTCCAGTAGCGTGAGTAGAATTGAAACGAGTACCGAGGAGCTTCTATTATAGATTGATTCTATCCTTTCGCTTGTCAGAGCGTTGCTGATGGAACGTAAACATAACCTGCTTACGTCGTTTCTAGTGCTCCAATTTCAAAGAGTTTTAAACTGTACACACTGTGCGAGCGTTCCTATGCTTTAACAAAGTGTCAGTTTTTAATTGGTGCGTTTATTAGGGTGCTGTGTTTTTCGATACATCTCTCAATATGGACGACGAGGAATGCTTTCAACCAGTGTTGAGTTCTCAAGAGGAAGATGAATTTAAAACATTGGATACTGTTCCAATTGTATCTGTTCCCCTTGTATTTGGCGTAAGCATCCGTTTCATTGGGACAGAATTGCTTGGATGAGTTTTTCATATGGCACGACAGGATTCTTTATTACCTAATGTTGCAGGTGTGCTTAGAAATTGCAGGAATTATATTTGTGTGCGTATGGCCTGAGGAACGAAATAAATGTGACACATATTTTATATACTTGTATCTTCATTGCGCTTACTGGTTGATAATTATGATGACGGATCATTTTGTCAAAGCCAAGCATCATAACTTGCGTATTTATGGGTACCTTGATTTCTATCAGTCAACGTATCAACACATAAGAACCCCCTTATTCATAGCATCGCTGTGGATCGTGTGTTATTTAATGTTGGCTGTTATTTTACACCATACGCATAAAATGAATTACGAACAATACTGTAGAGCATCCGAATGGTTTACACCGTTGAATTATATCGTATTTTTAACCACATTGGAACTGCTGATTATAGTGCCAGTTTATGTAAATTATATTAGTAAGTATACGAAAGAAATAGAAGAACATACAAATTTAATAGGGATCTATGGAGAATATTATTTTCTACTTTGTAGAAAGGGTTCTAAAGTTCAACAAAGTACGTCCACCGCCAGATGTTACACGAGAGGAATGGTTATCGTCTTTCACTCAAGATACGTATGCAGGTAGTGGAGAAGTAGGTTACCATCATACAGGATCAAATTTGGAAGAGTTATTAGAGAAACAGGCAGATTTGATAAGATATTTGAGAGATCATAACGTTAAATTGAGTCACAGGATGATGATGCTAGCGGTTCAACATAGATTACCAGAAGCATAAATAATTTATATGAACTACAAGCTTTTAGATTAATTATATTCTTTCATAAAAAACAAAAAAGAGAATGAGAAGTTGGATAATATTATGCACACTTTACAAACTATGCATTTAATGCAGAGTTTTAGATAAAATACAGGAAACCTTGCATAGAAATCTCAAGTGATAAGAAGGAAATATGTCTATACAATTTACGCAATCTTCCACACTTGATTTTATGCTTATTACGTTTACCGCATAAATGTGTTGTGTTTATTGAACTTCCTACGATATTATATACATATTACTATGCCGTTTATGGTATCCTCATTTGTATCGAAGGTCTACACTCTCTCTTCTATAGTCAGTGTTAAACATTTACTAGACTTGAATGATTGCATACAAATTTTGATAACGATATATACATATATAATCAAACATAGCTATTAATATTATGTTCATTCAATCAAAGAACCATTATGACTTGGAAATAAAACACCATCGATCATAGAACTAGTATTATTATGACACAAAAATCATAATGTAATCTAATTAGGAATCAAAAGTAATTTCTGTGATAAAAATGTATATACTTAACAACTCGAATAAAATTATATTTTTTTGATCGTACGGTAATGATCGTTACTTCTCCAATGCACAGTCATAGTTAGTCCAACGATAATACCACGAAATGTACACTAATATAAAGGCGAGTGATTTAAAAGGAAAAAGTGTACCATTTCAAAAATGATATTTCCCAAAGAAATTGCGTATATGCTGAACGATGGAAATCCTCCGTTTCGAATGCACCGGAATCGGGATGAATCAACACGTACATAACAATGTATCTGTTGTATACTTTAATATTAACATTATAACACAAGTCTATATTTATATTTTTTTGTTTCTTTACATTTGTATATGTGTATATCCCTATAAATGCCTAATAATACCTATTTTACGTAGATACAAACCCAACGCGGTACGCACGACGCATAGACGAGAACGAGTACACACTTCTCACGTATTGGTCCGTGTTTAACGCGACACTTACTACCGTTCGAGAACACCGCGCGGAACGAACTATATGTGTTTCCGTTAAGGACTCTGGGGTGCAGTTTCTCGCGTACTTAAAAGTCTTGCTCGACGACGGCATCGGTGTTGGAAAGAACAGAATGGACACGTCTGCAGGAAAGCTCTACGTATATTCCGCCAGGCTTAGAATCGTTTCGCTATCGTACGTACGGCTTTACGGTATATAAAACTAACTTACACGTATGGAACACTCAATTATTCAACGCTATAAAACGTACAAGCTTGTACTCCGTCGAGATTTTCCTAGACATACAATGATCGCGGCGTTTCGCTCGTTGAAACGAAACGTCGGTATATCTATCTATCTATCAACGAGGTGGTGTGTCGACGACACAACAATTTCTGTTGCTCTCATTTTCGTAAAAGTTTGTACTACGCTTAGGCCAGCCATTTCTGCTGTGTTCGTATGTATATGTGTGTGTCTGCTGTGTATATATCCTGTATGTATGTATATTTACGTATCTCTTTCTGTGTGTACATGTATGCGTGTGAGTATATATATATATATATACGATATATATACACGAAAAGTTAGTCCTTTTGTCCCGAGATTTTACGAACGCCGAGTGTTCCTCATTATTGTCGTAACTAGAAGTATTTCAGACTTCTCGTTCAAACCGAAAAGGGCTCAGTTCGTCGACAGAACTAATACCGCAGGATCCGAGAACAGAATTCGCTAAAGCTAGTCGTGTGCTTAGACTACCCGACAGGAACCGACAAAACGATACAAGCGCGCCGAACCGAGGGGGACACCGCGAGAAAACAACGGATTTCCGCGTCCAAGGACTAACCGCGAGCAAAATCTCCGCGTGCTCCGACCGGAACCTAGAAAACCGGGAATGGCCGTCGATCCAAATACGCCCAGGCGGCTCTCTCGCGTTCGATCGGCCGCGCGCGCGTTTCAGCTAAGGTGCGACCTAAATAAGTCCACTTGTTCCGCCTTGCCCCGTTTCGCTCGGGAAATTAAAGGTTGCAGTGAAATTCGGCCGGGTGCGTTAGAAAATACGGGCTAAGTCCCCTCGCGCGCCTCCGACGAACGGCCGGGCTGGCTCCGTTTCTCGCGACGAGCTCTACGGGAAGAGCTCGTCCTCCAATTCGCTGTTAAATCGAAAGAACTGGCGCGCGCCGAGAGGGAGCTGTTGTTGTCCTAACCCTTCGACGATTCTGCCCGGTTGAGGATGGAATCACGCGTGCGTAGCTCCCGCAACGGCGAGGGCTACTCCTCGGCCTCCATCATCTTCAGCATCCTGACGACCTGGGCGTGCTCCTCGAGCAGCCTCGCGAACTCGTCCCTCCTGGTCTCGGCTTCCACTTGCATCTGCTTGATCCTCTCCCTAGGCCCGCCCGGGCTGTCCATCGGTGTCTGCGTCGACGAGTTCTTCGAGCTGTTGTCGTTCGACAGGCCGTCCATGTCCGGGCTCTCGCTCGATATCGAGTGGGAGTCGACGTCGTCCACGATCAGGCTGCAACCGAGAGACCACTATGAAACGCACGTGTATATATTTACTGGGAAACGCGTGCTCGCGTGATCAACGACGTCAATTGATCCTGACGCTCGAAACGTTGCCTGCCGGTGGAGCTACCGTTTCTGTCCAACTGACTCGCTCCCGAATCGGAATTATTCGGAAGACAATGGACGATTGAGAAATTAGAGCAATAGGCTTACAAACTGGATTACGCGTTGATTGAACTCTCATACGGATGAGTTTAGAGTAATCGACGTGGTTCGGTGGTTCTAGTGACATCTCCGTGCATTTCGGATGGGTAGATCGTTAGTTCGATTCGGTTTGAAAGAATAGAAAGCGAGTTTCTCCGAGTCAGAGTTCACGGAATCGAACGGGCTTCTCGGTAAGGAGGACGTGATTTTCGCAGCCGGTCCGAGCTATCGACGTTCCGCCCTGCAGCATTGTAGTCGCAACAATTGTCGCTTGCGTCAATGTTACGTCACTGGTACTGAAGCACGTAGCCCGTGGACAATGAATAACGGACCGACGGTATACGTACGATTTTTCGTTGCTGCGGCGCGAGGTATCCTTTCACGCGAGGTACCGCTGCTCGTTTCTTCGCTCGGGACGATCGAGAGTCGCTCGTTCGCGTCACGATCCGCCGATCGTGATCGTTTCGACTACGTTAGCCGGGATTCCCCCGGGCTGCGTCGAGCAATGGAAATATTTCTGCCGCGAGAGAATTCTAATCCGCGGCTTCTGTAAACTTGTTACGAGACCTCCCGGGCCAGAATGCGTCCATTATTTGCGCGCCCGGCCGACTTGATAGCGCATCGGCGATGATCGTATAATCTGAGAATATCGGCGACCGCCCACGCGAACTTTTCCGCGGAGGCAGATTACGGAAAGGTCGTATTGGAAATTTACTCCCACGAAAATTCTGGAAATAACGGACTTCTGCGCGTGCGACTCGCAGGACTGTCGCCTCTGTCGCGTCCGAGGATCGGCGGCGTTCGTTGTTTGTCGCAAGGATCCTGTTTAACCCTCTGCGGACGAGAACTTTTTGAACTTGCGAAAACTTATACACGAGAAAGCCGAGTTGTGTACCAAAGTATTAAACGCTAGGAAAGAGAACCACGTATTTCTCGGTATCCGATCGCAGCTGTCGAGTTCAGATACCGATCCTCGAAGTCGCCATTATGGCGGCATTCGGCCGTAAGGATTAATAGCGAAGATAGACAAATACTCGAATACCAATGAAAGTGAACAAGAATTTTGAAACATTTCGATACGATTCGTCCTTATCTTGAGTATTCGAAGAGGAAACCTCGTGATTACCTACCTAAACGTGCCATAGATCTCTCTTCCCGTGGTCATCCTGGAGCTGCAGCGTCAGTCAACGATCTGCAACGAAGAATGATCTAACGTAACTTGCTTTCACTTAGGTCATCCTATAAATAATGTTTCTTGTCTTAGAAAGATACTTCACGCTATTTCGAAAGTGGCGTTAGATTAGCCAATAAAACGGTAACAGCGTTTACACAACGATGATCAAGAGAAACGCAAGTTTTGCAAGTGTTTTAAATGAATTTTCCGCTCGAAAGTTAGCGTGAAGCAGACAGCATTACTTCGGTGACCTAATATTTTCGCGAGGCTAGCAGATTTTCAGAGGTCGCTTCGCCTCCGCTCGCGGCTAACCGACGACTCCAGGCCGAGGAAGTCTGTAGCTTGAGTTACGAATACTATTATTAAGTACTATTTAATTTTAACGCGAGCTTAGCGCGTGTAACGGTTCGCTGGTCCAGCGGAGGCGATATAAACACCTCGTCCGAGATATTAAAGCCGGTACGTACGACCGATCCGCCGGCATTTTGGCAATCGCGCCGAGACGATCGCGGCGGCTCGATTGTCCAGGCGCACGCGATCGACGTTGCACGCCTCTCCGATCAAAGCACGACGCGCGGAGGATGTTTATTTCAAGACAACGGCCGCGCACACGTACACATACGCCGGAGAACATCGTCCGTGCCCGATGTAACGCGCGATAACGATTGTCTCGTACTTCCGCGTGGCCGTTCCGTCTTCGCGTCGCGCCGGTCGATCCGGATTACCTCGGAATATGAAAATTTCACGATCGAAACGCGATCAATTCCCCTTGAAATCCAAAGTAGCCGCGCGTTCTCCGGTTCCCAACCCTCTGCAGTCCGAGGTTTTCTTGGTTCTTCACTGTGAGACGTACGTGGATGTCAGTTAATACTAGAACTACCGGATGGGTCGAATTGACCGATTCCTAAATTATTCCTTTACAATCATTGAAAAGATAGTAGATGCTTCTCTAAGAAATTTCGAAAGAAATCGTTTTAGCAATGCGCAAACTGAGTTGCTATAGAGTTGTTATATAGAAAGTTTGCAAAGTCAACTTGACTCGACGAACGAAGAGGAATCTCGCATGTATCAAGGGACAGTTTCATTTCTGTTCCGTATGTTGATACCTCGTTCGAGATTGAATATAAGATTTTTAATTTTACTGTATAAATCAACGATTGAGAGTCACCTGTCGAGTGAAAAGGGCTAAAGTTCAATAGAATCGAACGTCGAGTCTGCCTCGACGCAGGACTGCCGAGGGTTGATTCAGTTTACGCGTTGAATCGCATCGCTTTTCGATAAACGAGCCTCGATTAGTCAGCGGTCCTGGCGTCGGGCGATTAGTCGCTGGGAAAGGACGTCAGCTGTGACAAAACGTGCCGGCGAATCTCGTGACTCCCCTTGACCCGCGATATTGTTTAACAAATAGAGTCCGCCGCGGCGAAACTGCGGGAGCTTAACCCTTAAAGTTTGACCTTCGACGTTGAACTTCGTGTGATCTATCAATACTCGACCAACGAAGTATCTATTCCTCAACCGTTCGAGGGTCTTTAAAATCCTTCTCTGTGTTCACACAGGAAAATTCAGAATGCTCCAATTGCTCCATTTCCACGCAGACAATAGAGAACAAGCGAAAATAAGTCATTAAAAGGACAGCTAAACAAGCCCGAGTAGATTCTACGAATCGATAGGCTGACACTTTTAGGCGGTTAATTCCCGGCAATTAAAGGTCGATCCCCGCGCGGTCTTTCCGTCCGCCGGTAGTGGAGCGTCACCGATATCTAATCGGTAAAAGAATAAACGCTCCTGGCGAAAAGGCTTTCGAGCGCGAGGGGTTAAATCACGGGTCAGCCGAGGGACGGCCGTTCTGCGCAGACGACACGTGCGGGTGTACGCGACGGAAGGACACTGCGTTAGGAGCATTTACACGTGCCCGTCCCGCGTCACATCCTCCTACGTCATCGCCGACGCGGGCGGACTGTTCCGCTAAATATATTCCGATTTTCCCGGTAGAAGTTGCACAAGAGATCGTCCACGGCGTATCATCCGCGGCGCGTTTGTTTATAGTTTTAATTGGTATCGGCGCGTTAGCATCGGAAACGGAACGAGGAAAGACGAAGATCGACCAATCGGGCCGACGTTGCTGATCGAATATGCTCTCTCCCAGCGGTACACTGCCAAGCGCGGCGGCGATCGCCGGTGCGCCTATAGACGCGTCTTGTTCTTTCTAAAATAGGATCGCGAACGCGAATCCGTCTCGGTCGGAGCCTTGGCCCCATAGAGGCGGTGGGGCCGCGTCTCTTTCGTTAATAAAACGGTTAATTAAGAGTCACGTGGACCGAAGAGGCATCGGGATCTTAATAAGCTATCGCCTTGGTGGTTCGTTCGGGCCGAGGATGATGATGCGTGTCGGCAGTGGCACTCGCGTCACGCTAATTGCGATAATAAAAACACGGGGCCGGGGGCGTGCGGGGGCACGATGATTGGCCATTGTTCCGCGGTACGGCGGTCCGGCCGTGGAGCCCGCGAGAAAGGTAAAACGCAATTCCGCTGACAACGCGGGAGGGAATTCTCTCTATTCGGCGGAAAACGACCGGGAGGGCCGACCTTCGCGGCGGCGGCGGCTGCGGCGCGAGCAAGAGGATCGGGACGAGTGCCTCGCGACCTTAGACAATGCGAGTGAGCGAGTCGCACGCGAGACGACCGCGAGCCGTGACCACTTCTGCGAGAGCCCACGCTGGAGAAACAAAGAAGAGAGCCGCGACAGAGAGGAAACCGTCCTCTCGCATCGTCGCACCGGACGAACGTCACAGGCCGTTTAGAGCCAGTCGCCGCGGTTCCACTCGAGATTCCTGCGTCGGTTCCGCGGCGACCGTTCTCCCGACAGCTATCCCAGACCGCTTCGACCCGATCGCATCCGGGGATGACCCGGACGGACGCGCGCGAGATTAATCGAATGATAAATCGTTCGACGCGCGATCGCGGCCCGGCCGAGCTGGCCTTCTCCTCCGCTCGGGGGCGAGTTTCCAGTGGATGCGGCCGGGTTTTGGTCAGACGCGGTTCCGGACGGTCCCAGACGTCGAATGGGACGACCCGCGGACGCGGGACTGCCGCGACGCAGCTTCCACGGGCCGATCGCGGACGAGTCGTGTTGGTTGTACATCCTCGACGGCGGGAAATCTCGAGAACGCACGGGAACGCGTGGTTGGTAGTACCCACCTCCGACTGCTTGTGCACGGCAGTTCAACTGCGCGAGTGCCAGCCTCCCTGCTGGTGGAATCTCCGTCGATGAACAACGTCGATCCGCGCGTTCACCGGTGGGATCGTTTCCTGCTCGCGGCGGATCGATGGACCGAACGGCCAGAACTGCGGAGGCAAGGATGATGAGACTGCTCGCTCACGGCGGACTCGGGGCAAGCGTATCCGAGGAGGCGGCCGAGGAAGCGACGTTCACCGCTCGACAGACTCGCGCAGACTGATCAGCTCGGTCCCTCTATTGCCGCGCGCTACAACCTCAACACCACAGGTTACCGCTCCACCGGAGAAGGGGGATGCAACCGACAAAGTTTTATTTCGTGCCAACCCAGGCCCTCCCCCGCGCCCCGCCGCCGCGCGCTCGTCACCGGAACGGTTGTTTTCATGCACCCGCGGAACGCGTACCCCGCTTCGATCGCGATCGAGCGGAGGGACACGCGTTATCGATAGAAGACGTCGATTGCTCGCGGCTCGATCGCGTCGACGACGATTCCAAGGAGAGATACGAAGTTACTCGCGCATTATTGAATTGTCAGCTGAATTTCGACCTTTTTTTTATGAGATGTTAGATTTCAGTTGATTCGTTGGTCACTTGTAACAGGAGCGATTGAAGGTTGTAATTAACGATTATTGAGAGCAACTTATGAGATCTCCGCTGTTTCTACATTGGGATCACCGAGCAGTATTGGGTTTTCGAAAGTTTCCTTTGGAAACTACGAGATCGTTTATTGAGATTTCGATTGTCTCGTTCACTTTGCGCGTTGTTGGATCAATGTCGGATGTCTGTCTATGAAGAATGGATCATTTTGATCCGCCCTGTAGCTTCAACGTTGAATCGTTCCTTCCCTCGCAGCGGAACGAATGCCGCCGGATGAAAATTTGAATGTCGCACCGGTCGGCCGATGAACAAGCTTCACGAAGTTAGCCGTGCCTCCATTCCCGGCCGTTTCATTTTTCCCGTAATGATTGCCCGTAATTGTTTCCCGGCGTGATTGTGTCGAGCGGCGTGACGGCGATACCCGGCCGGAGGAAAAAGTAATTTCCGATAAAAAAATCGGATTACGCTCGAGGGAGCTCGCCGCTCGGCGGGGAAAAACCTTGCCGAGGTGGCGAAGTTTCCCGAAAGAAGGCTGACGACCGTCGGAATCGATTCTTCCGAGAACCGGATACCGGTAGCTTGTTTCACAGATCGATGAATCATTCCCAATGACGTTCGTGCTTCTTTATTTCGATGCATCTCGCGAGCAACCAGCGTGTCGACTCTCTCAGACCTCGTACATCCGTTCCGCGTTTGTCCCGTTGGGAAATCGGTTGGCTGAGTCGAGGAACCTGCGCTTGATCGGTCGGTTTTCCTTGAATTTTCATTCGATTTCGTATGCGATATGCAAAATTGATAATGTAATTTAGTTTGAGGGTTTCGAATATTTCTTAGAAATCTGCGAAGGGTCGAAACATATGGAAAATCAGTTCCAGTGGGGTCCAAGGCGATGTCTGACCGCTTCAACATAATTTTAAATAATAATTCTAATCAAATCAACTAGATCGTACTATAAATTCTTCTTAAACACTATCTACTAGATAAATTCTACATTTTACTGCTGAAGTACGCTATAGTTTCATTTGAAATGAAGGAGATTCATTAAATTTCTATTTAATTGCCCGTTTCAAATGAACTAAATTCTCCCTAAGTTACCTGTAAACATTGCCAACAATAAAGCAGTTTCGTCGAGCACAGTCGCGAAAGAAATCGCGGGACAAAGGGTTAATTACCCATTGTCCGCCAGATTCCAGCGAATCGCGGGGAGCCACGGGTAAGATTGATCCGCGGATCTCAGTTAACGACCTCGTGGCTGCGTGCGGCTCTCTCGCCTTATCGCGGTGTTTCGACTAAATCAAACCGTCGCCGGCAATAAATTTTTCAATTGCAAGCTCCCCGCGATAACACGAACGACCCGCGGTTACGCTGTCAACACGTTTACTGCCACGGCGATCGGCGATCGCCGATGTTCCCGAGCTCCTTGAAAACAATTACGCTAAGATGTTCGACGTCAAACGAGGCTATTTACGTACGTCGTTGCAAAAGCTTCGGGAATTCGAAATTCAGTTGTTCGTATCGCTTCCATACAGATTCACGGTTTTACGGTGAGCAAGTGCTGACGCACAATGGAGCAGGTGTTAATGTTGCAGGGGGAATCGTTGATCCGATGATCGATTATAAAGTAAAGGCAAACAAGTTAGATAGATTCTTATTATCGAAAGCAGAATTAGCTACGAAAGGCAGCAATTGAAACGCCGATCAACCGGATAACGTAGCAATTGATATAAAGTCAAGTGGACGTAGGAAACCGCAGAATTCTAGCTCCTCGTGAACGAGTGTCAAAAGATCGGCGTATAGTTTCCTTTTTTCCTATTACGTAAGCATTCGACGTATAATTTAGCCTCGTATGTTGCAAGTTTCGTGTTCTTCGAAGAGTCTTCGTCCGCGAAAGGTCAAGTCGAGCGTTGAAACCGGTCGTTTGACCGGTCACAGTGCGTTCGGTGTTAAGCAACGGAATTAAGCTGTTGCAGAACGTTAGAAAAAGCTGTTGCCGAGTTGTAAAGAACTGATTCATCGGTGATCTTCCGAAAGTTGACGCGAATGGCGGCCATAATTTAGAACTTACGACTGTAATTGCAGATCCGGGACATTGAATCGGACGCGTGCCCTTTTTATCGCGCCGGTGTCTGGCAATAGGCGATCGCCCAGGGTCCCGACCGGGTGGCGCGTGTGTCAGATTTCAGGGTCGTCGCGAAACACTGAGGCAGACGAAAACCATGCAACTCCCCGGAGAATCCGGCGGTAAATTATTTCGGTTGGACGCTAATTTTGTCGTGGTATGCGGTGGCGCACAGAAAGCGGCGCGATGGTTAACCACCGCCTCGACGGAGCGCGTCCTTCCACGCTTATCTCCTTTCTTTCGCTTCTGGCCGCCTTCTTTTCCGCCCCTTCGCCCGCCGCTTTTCGCAGGCATTTGCTCGCGTCGATTGGCTCCCTATTTTCGCTCGTTAAAGTCAATGTTCAATGCACACGTCGGCTCAGCCAGGGTCAACACCTCCCCCGAGGCTCAGAAAAGCTCGGGCTTCTGCCGACCGGCCGCACTCTACCGTGAAAAAGTCGGCCATTTTCATGGGGAGCCCGGAATAGGGGACGGGAATGTGGCCTGCCGGCGCTGAGCATCTTTTGCATGAAATTCAGAAGCGAATCCTCTATCTCAAGTGCTCAACCTTTCAACCCTGCGCTTTTTGGATGTATTTATTAACGTGTGATTCGAGAGGAATTGAATGAATCTAGGGAACAATGATACATTTCAAGCTGTCGATCTCTCCGATTTCGATTTTCAAATATCTCGTTAGTCGCGCTGGTGTATACAGAATTCATTGTAATAGTAGCAAAAGTCCGATTACCTCGGAAACTAAAGCTTTCCTGACCAAACTTGACCCATTTCAATGTTGCATGGCTCGTACTGATTTAGACACTGATTTGATTAATATTTATTGAATGAACTTATTCACTTATTCATCGCATAAACACGGAAACGTAGAACCATCGGGAATCAAGAAATATACAAGTTTTATTAAGTTCACCGGCGATTCCCGGTTAAAAGGTGAAACATTAGATCGATCCATAAGTGACGTCTCTTCTTACGAATCTCCTAACTGGAAATCACAGAACTGGCTCGACGATTTTCGTTTTAGTTTCGGTATGAATCGTTACGAAAAATGTAAGTTCCCGTTTGTCTAGGCCATTAGTCGGTCAATTAAATCGGTTAATCGAAGTACCGCTATATCACGATCGCCCATTGCCGGCGGTTTATCGTCCCCATCGATCGCATCGATTTTAGAGCGGCCGATCGCGGTCGGTTTCATTTGTCCGCCGATACGGTCGATAAGACGTACGACACGCGTCGTTTCCCGCCGCGGAATTGGCGTCCTAAAAAATTCAGGCAGCCGAGTATCGCGCAATAAAGGGGTTAATCGCGAACACGCGACGCACTGGAAAATAAATAGCAACCGTTATCTGGATCGGTACACGCCGGGCGACACGGGGAGCTTAATACGGTCGGCGGTTCGTGCGTCAGCGATAATGATCTTCGAACATCATCATCGGCCCGGCCAATCGGAGACGAAACCGAAAAGGGAACTCACTGCGCTCGTTCAAGATGGCAAGCCGTCTCGGTGATAACCGCGACGTGCGTCAATGATGATACCGTATCTAATCTGGCTAGCCCCGTTCTTGCATTGATCGTAATCCTCGATCATCGTCGAGGAGTGTGTTTTCGTCGAGGGTCGTAGCACGGCCGAGTCCATTTGGCAGGCCAGGACCTCGATTAACCCTTTGCGGCCGAACGTCGACGTTTCGCCGAGATCAAACTGTCGTGTTTCGTCTACCGAGTTGCAAACGAACGATCGAACTACTCGAACAGCAAGAAATCGGTACATAGTGTTCCTTATTCTCTATTATTTAAGCATTCGGCGTCTAATTCGGCAGAATCTGCAAAAGGTTTCGTGTTCATAATAACACCTTAAAATCTAGGGGTGGTTTTAAGTTTTTGATCGTGGACCGTAAAACTGCTGAAACACTTTCGTCGGAGGCTTAAACATCCTCGTTGACGCAGGCGTTGATCGTCGTTTACCTAAATTTCCTCGTTTCTTCGGGAACTTATTCGTCTCTGCAACTTCGGGTTATCTCAAGGTCATCCCAAGGACAGCCCGAGCACGCTTTGTTTTCCTCTCGTAATATCAATTCGACTGCGGCTTTTTATACGTTCGTGGGATATCTGAAAGTGCAACGTTGCATGAAGTGCATGCACTGTGGAGGGCATATGCGAAACGTTCGAACTATTGTGGTTTTTTGAATATTTCATGGATAGGACGGTTCTCTGTTGAGATTCTTTTCCTTTCAATCGTATATTCCACACAATATGAATTATTGAAAATGATCGATGCCAAACGAAACTATTTTAGGTTGCCGCAAAGCTTCAGGGAATTCGAGATTCACTTGTTCACGTTGTTTCCAGAAAGCTTCGATTTTTAGGTGGACAAATGCTGACGCACAGTGAGAGGCGCGTTAATGTTGCAGGAGAAATAACTGATCGAACAATCGATTATAAAGTAAAGGCAAACAAGTTAGATTCCTCTTATCGGAAACAGAGCTAACAACAAAAATTGAGAAACCGATTAACCGGATAACATAGGAATTTA